ATCGAAAACAATATTATCTTTTGACATTTTCAATAGAGCAAGAAAAAAAAAGGTTAATATTGATCATCGAATTGAATTCAACGCTCAACTTAAATTGACATTTTCAATATTAAAAGAACACGTATCATGTCAATTACTTATTCGCATGTATATGTTATGACCAGTGTCTCCCAGAAGAGTTCACTTCTTTTTTTTTTAATTATACACCAACATTATAAATTAACATTACAATGTTAATTTTCATCGATATAACAAATCATATTTTTATCTAATTCTCCATTTACATTGTTTGATAGAAAACACCTGCGATCATTTAACTGTGACATTGATAATAAACTGTTTGCCTATCTCAAACATTATTTGATTTGAACAGGTACATAGATATATAAATCGTTTTATGACAATATCGAATTATATACTTATCATTCTGTCAAAGTCAAGCGGTTCATATAAATGAAATGCACATATGCAGACACATTTAACATATAGAGTGAGCTCGAATTCATTCAGAAAAAAAAGAAGAACACATGTTATTCTTAGACAAATGAGTACGTGACATGTTATCAAGCAACAAAAAAAATGATAAATGAGTTAAATCAACGGTGATTTTCTTAGATCTATTTACAAGAGTCAATCAGTGACACATTCTAAAGTTAAGCTACTTTCATAATAAAAGAAAAATTTAAATGATAAAAACAAGCTGAAGATTTCTTTTTGAGATACAATGCTAATCAATATGGCTGGAGGCTATGATAACAAAGAAGTATACATATATATATTAGGATTTCATTTCTAATCGATAACAATTAAAATAATACGGTATTGTATTTTGTTTGAAATGAAAAGCTATAAACAAATATAAGTCAAAAAAGAATGATGATTATACCGACTTATACTATTTGTTTGATTAATACATTTTTTAAACATATTATAACCAGCAACAAAAAAAAAGAGAGAAAATCTTTGATCGTTAAGTTTAGTCAAAGATTAGAATAGATTTATTATATCAAGTTATTTTTCATTACGAGATATATAAACTTCACGGTGAAACTATTATTATCATATCATAAAAAAATGAAGGTTAGAATTCGAAAAATTTTCATTGATGCATCATATTTCATTTTTTTACAATCATATCTACTTTTCCTTCTCTGCAAAAATTTCAATAGTTTCTCAAATATCTCTTCGGTCTAACCACAGCCACAATCATCATTCTGCTTTCCTATTTCTTCATATTCCATCCTAAAGTCATCGATAGACTTTATTGTTCACACTAATAACAAGTCATATATGATTATCTTCTTACTATTTTAAATCAAAAAATTAATTTTGCATTTAAAAATATAATAAGTTTTATTATTTTTAAAGTATAAATAAAAGAAGAAAAAAGATATAACATATAACAGAAAATTCAAATTAGTACATTGAAAAATGACTCACTATATTTATTTGTAACTAATATAGTAGTCGGAATGAAATTAGAAAAGTGATTATGATTAACAGATAAGAAAAAAGATAAATATAGAAAATTTTCATAGAACAACATCTAAAAACTTGATCACAGTTCTATTTGATTTGATTTGATTTGATTTAAAAAGAAAAATATATTAGTTAAGTTCTCCAATTGGTACACTTCTTATCCAAAGTTCATGCATAAAATTAAACAAATCATTTGTCAGTGATACTTTATATGGTGTTGGATTAAGATCTCGTACAATATCTGTTCGTAAATGTAGTAATTGATCTGTTGCATATTCTCGAATTTGTTTTAATGCTGGTAAGGGTTCTTTTATTTCTCCATCTGCCCAATATAATTTATATAAACTTGTGACTGATGATGGTGTAACATAAGCACGTCTTTGATCAGAAAATGGATGACGACTAAGAATTTTAACTCCTTTTTGTGGTACTGGTTCATCAAATTTTGTTAATAAATCACATAAAGCCTTTCCATCATGACCATAAACTCGATAAAGATTTTTTCGACCTGGTATTGTTACTTTTTCAACATCTTGACTAATTTTTATTCGAGGTATACCAGCAAGCTAAAAGAAATATTATTAAAATAAATTAAATAATTATTTAAAAAAAAAGAAGATTTTTACTTCAACTAATTTATAAACACAACCAAGTGCTGCTTGTTTTTGACATGTAACTAAATGTGTACCAATTCCAAATGTATCAATTGAATTTCCTTGTTTTGCTAATGATATTAATGTATCTTCATTAATATCATTACTTGCAACAATTTGGAAATCGTTAAAATAAGGTAAACCAAATTTTTGACCTGTTTCAATAAATCGTTTACGAACTTCTAATGATAAGTACGCTAAATCACCAGAATCTAAACGTAAACCAATAGCTTTATAATTACATTCATGTAATGCACGTGCAACAGCTAAAAAATTTGGTAAACCAGATTTAAGTACATCATATGTATCAACTAAAGCAAGAAGATTTGTTGGAAATGCAATTGCATATGAAGCAAATGCTGCTAATTCTCCTTTATTTGTTTCATCAGGAAGTATGTTAAGTATTTTTCCAACTTCATTTAAATATTGTAAACATAAATCAGCAAATGGACGTACTTCACGACTAATACGATCACGTAAATTTCGTTCATTTAAATCATCCATAGATTCGTACGAACTAACGTATGCATGAGCATGTGTACCTTTTATTGGTATATCATAAAGTTTACCAGCTAAAACATTTGATGTACCATCAAAACCACCTAAATAACAATATTTCGATGCACTTAAACCACCATCAGGACCTTGAGCACGACGTAAACCAAATTCAAGTAATACTTTCTGAGCTGGCGCTGCTTGACGAAAACGTGCAGCATTAGTTGCAACTAAACTAGCAAAATTAACTAGATTTAATAGTGTTGTTTCTAATAATTGAGTGTGAAATATTGGTCCTTCAACACGAATTAATGGTATACGAGGAAATACAACAGTACCTAAATAAATAAATAAAATATTATTTTAATATTTTTTTATCTCATGTAATTCAAAAAAAGTTCTGACTTTTAGATAGATCTTAATATGTCTTCTTGTATTTCCTCTAAAAATTTTTATACAATGAGAGTTTGAATCAAATTTATTAGAATATACAAACAATCATTCTGTATATATATCAAGTATATTCTCAACTATTGACTGTTTCTCTTCAGTGTATCGCAAAATTTATCAATTTCTAGCCCTTCATACTATGATTTATTCGGTGAATTAATACAATATTTCTATTTATAATGACTATTCTTCTACTATGTAATATGTTTTGTCAACCGTATTTTGTATTTATTTACTATAATAACATAAATAGTAGAATATGATTAATTTCGTAGTTTTTCAAAAAGATGAAAAATACAAAAACAACACACTTGAAAACTTGGTGTATTTAGCAAAAAATATTCATCAAGATGAAATATAAATACAGGATGCCCCAAAAGGTCACCGAAAGAAAAAACTATGAATGGGTCTTAAGTAAACAGAAAGGAATATCTAGGTAAAATTTTCTTAATAAAAAAAATCGAATGGCTCGCATTCAGTGAAAACTAATGGTCATTTGCTGAAATAGTCAAGTTCCAAGATATTGAAATTTTCTGTCATTTTTGCGACTTTTGAATATTTTCTGAAAATCTAGTATCTCAGGAAAGAAACATTGACTTTGACTGACACTTTCAAGACAACTTAAGGAGTATTCGAACACTTTATGAATTAATTTCCTGTATAGAGTACTCCAAAAAATGTACGCAGAATAAAACTTCAGAGAACATCTTGTGGAATGATGAAAAGTTCATGTAAATTGCTTAAGTTATAAATGAGATATTTGAATTAACTTTTTATACACCCTGTACTATCATTCTTTCAATATTTTATTGTATTAGATTTATATTTACCTTCTGGTACAGCATATAATTTAATATCATTCATATTAAGATTAAGTAAATAATCAAAAAATTCAGCTTCAACATAATCAGGTAAGACTGAACGAAGATATAGAATATCACTTGGATCAAATTTATAATCACGAATAAATTTCAAACATTCTTCCAATCCAGCAAATAATGTATATTCACCACCAAATGCTAAATTAGAAAATAAAAATTACATATAAAAATTATTAATTATTTACGATTTTTTCGAAAATATAAATCAAATGTTGCCATTTCAGTATGTTTATTTCCCTTCCAATAAGCATATGCCATTGATATTTGATAGAGATCAGTTAATAGTGGTTGAACCACACTTGATTGTTCTGATGCTGACATTAATGTATTTTTTTCGTTAAGTTGTGAATTACAGCGGTCAAAATTAGGTATAGGTGAAGATGAATACTCTGGTGTTGTTCTAGATAATTGTTGTACTGTTGAGAATGGATAAGAACTTTCTAAACAAGATAATTCTATTGTAGTAGATTCTGATGATAAATGGCTATCTAAAACCCTAGAGAAGAAAAAAAAATAATAATAATTAAATTGTATTTAAAATAAAAAATTCTATGAGTATAATTTTATTTGAGCCATACTTTTTCGTATCCTTTGCCTTTTATAATATTGTTAATTGAAATTAATACATTACCAGTTCCTTTTCTTAATTATAAAGCAAAAGTTATAAATTAATCCGCTAGCAAAAGATTGAAATGCTATATAAATATGAAGTAAAAATACTTTCACATAGTTATGCAATGACATGCTAGAATTTTTTTCCTTATATACCAGCAAAAAGTAAATTTCTTCCTTCTCTTTCTTTTTTTTTATTATAGTGAAATCATAAATATTATATTTATTTGCTTTACTACTAGACTGATTCATTTTCACGGAAAAAGAAAATAATTTATTCTTGAAGGCAAATAAATATCACTTAATGTCTATTCTCTTTCTCCGAAAGGTAATATAAAAAAAACCGAAACGTCATATAATTAAATAAAAAATGTCTAAACAAATATTATTTAATAATTTAAATAAAATTGGATTTTTCCTCGACAAGCAATGTTTATTTATTTTGACGTAGTATTATTAATAAAAACAGGCAATTTTCTTTTTTTTTTAAATATTAAGAATATTTTCAATAAGCATAAGCAAATATATTAATATGAACAATGTCAGAAGAACTTACTTGCTCTCTTCGAAAATATTCATTGTTGATATTTGAGACAGATATGTGAACAAGCAAACATTTTTTTTAGAATGAAAGTCTTTCGTACACTATGTTAAATAACTCTTTTTCTTTTCTAGGGTCATATATTTATTGTCTGTCTGAATCGAAGTAAACTCTTTCCATTCTTTGACAAACAATAAATATATTTGAAAAAAAAGAACTGTCTATCTATCTATCTTTCATGCTTACCGTTTGCCATTATTGTGTTTTGAGATTGATGAGAATAAATATTGAATTATAAATTGTCTGGAATGGTCTTCTTTAGTTTTTTCTCATTGATAATTAACGATAAATGTTATTTTTCAGGATGGAATTGTTTCTAGAAAAAGAATATCAATTTTTGATTTTAAATAATAACGATATTTACATATCTGTTAAATGTATTAGATTAATACAAGAAAAAGAATTACAAATAAATATAAAAGTTTTCTTTAAAAATGATTATAATGTCTTTAATGTACAAAAAATATAGTTTATATACAAATGAAAGTTAGTTGGTTAAATACATTGTAGGGATTTTGACCTTATTGTAAAGTAAATACCTACTAAATGATAGCATATTTCAAATGTTTTGATGATAGTATAATCATTGTATATAATAAATGATAGAAACAATAACTATTATTTGATCGTAATACGTAAAGAAAAAAACCAAACGCAATAAAACTGTATTATTCCCATTAATAAAGATTCATCAAAAACAACCATTTATTTGTTTCCTCTTACCAAAATTTCCTATACAAACGCCTAGCAATGATTCAACGAAAAACAAGTATTTATTTCACAAATCATTCATGCATAAAAATAATCACGTAAGCAATCATATTTTCTTCAATACTTTGTTTGATTCGAGTCATGTCTGAGGTCATTAGGAGACTAGATACGTAGGATGAAATATGTCAAAAAACAAACAAAAAAAATATCCATCTAGAAGTTTAATCATAGGGTGATATGAGTGTAAAATACAAAGAAAATTTTTATTTTTTTATTTATTTTTTTATTAAATAAACAAAATTTAATCTCCACCATCACCACCATCATCGTCTAAATCATCATCCTCTCGATCACCAGGATCAAAATAGGACTCAATATAATCAGCTGCCTAAAGAAAATAAAATTATGATGTTTTTCTTCTTTCTTATAAAAATTAAATTTTAGTTTCTTTACTTCATCTTCATCCATATCTTCTTCGTCTTCTTCTATAATATCACCATCAACTTCATTTTCATTATCTGTTAATTTCTTTTTTTCTGTAACTAAAAACGAACAAATATTTTATTTATAATAAATCTAAGACAAAATTAATTAAACCTTTCGGTTTTCCTTCATCATCAACATCATTTTCATTAATATCAGCATTTTCGTCGACTTTTTCTTCATCTTGTTCATCATCTTCCTCACCATCTTGTTTTTCTTCATACTTAAAATAATTAATAAAATAATCTATTTAATCATTTATATCTGTCGTATCGAAGTTCTTTTCAGAAAAGTGAAACTATAAGATTTACTGATTGTTTTCTTCTTTAACACATGACATATATTTGGGTTTTTCCTTTATTTCTTATCGTATATATTATATCTTTTGGGGATTTATCCCAACCATATTATAGTTTCATTTTTGTGAAAAGAACTTCAATACGACATATACAATAATAACATACAGTATTAAGATCAATATTAAATGTTGTTTTCTTCTTTTTATTAACTGGTAAAATTTTTTTCTTTGCTAAATTTGGTTTAATTCTTGATGAATTTCTATTCATTCGAGATGCTTGTTTTAATTCACGAGGTAATAGTAACCATTCTAAATAAATTTATTTAATAAAAATACTATTAAGATAAATTTCTATTACCTTCTTTCCATTTATTTAAAATAAAATTTTTTTCATGTTCTTCTTTTAATGGATCATGTAATGTACGAAAACTTGAATTAAAATTTAATTTAAGTTTTAATTTATAATCATAATCATTTATTGGATTTTCAACTAATGGATGTGGAGTATTGAGTAATTCCTTTAAAATAATACTAAAAATATATTAAATTGATCTTTTCTCTTGTAAAGAAAGACTTGTACATACAGGAAATACTGGTGGTGGTTCAGTAACTGCAGCTGGTAAACTATCTTTTGCTAATTTTAATGTATCAATTGTAAATGAAGCATGACCACGACCGAAAGCCATGTATGATGCAATCTAAAATTAATGAAAAACGTTTTTGTTATCGAAAGTGTAATTCTTTTTATTTACAATGAAAAGAAAATTTTGAAGTAAGTATTTTATAGCATCCAATCAAAGAATCGATATAAATAGAGGGCAATATCAAACAATTGATTTGAATCTCCGAGAAAAAGATATGAATTTTAAGATGTAAAATTCATTGAATACTATTGTAGTTTATCTTAAAAAACTCGAACAAGTTCAGTAAATTTCGAGATATTGAAAATTCTTATCGGCAAACTTATCTTGTTGGATAAGTCTAATAATCATATTTTTAACTATGGAATCATGTTAATACTTTATACTATTATGCTAAATTTTAGAGATCAAAACTTGAGTGTTATTTCCTTATATAAATAAATAGAAGTGATTTCGTACAAAATAATTATAATCAAATCCGAGTGCTCTGATGAGTTTCGATATTTGAATACATTTATGCATTTGAAGTAAAGATGATATTTTATTATAAAAAAAAGTATGTATCAATATATTTTATTGTATTGAAATACTTAGAATATACTTATTCATTTATAATTTGCTTTCTATTTACAATTTTGTAGTTTTAAATAACATAATTATTATAGTGAAATATTCATTTAGAAAAAAGCGTTCTAATTAATTATTCAAGCATGTAAAATGAGACAATCCAATTTATTTACAGTTTTAACTTATTACCTTGAAAATAACAAAACATATTTATTTTCTTCCGACAAACATTTGTCATATTGATCTCAGAATATTTATCATACAATAATATTAAGATTTTCAGTAGATTAATAGTGAATTACTCGTAGGTGTCAATATTTTCTGCGAAAATTATATGATTTAGAAAATTTCCAACATTTGTTTTATGGTTTTTACCAATAATAGTCAAACTGATCATGTCAACTATACTACCACTTCATTCTATTCTCTGTGTAAAAAAAGAACAGAATCCGCGAAGTTGGTTTATTTCATGTGACACATTCGAAAAAAGGAAGAAAAGAAAAAAAATAATACATTCAACAACAAAACAAAACAATCTCAAAGGTAACGTCAGTATTTTACATCATAATAATCAAGTAAAACTTTTTTTTAAAGGGAAAAAATTGTTTTCATTAGTATTAATGTTGTTTTTTGTTAGATGACAAATATTAATTATGAATATATTGATGAACAATCAATTGATGCAAATTATAAATGTTCAATATGTATGAAACCATTTCAATATCCAGTAACAACACCATGTGATCATACTTTTTGTCAAGAATGTATTCAACATTGGTTAAATGAAAATCATTTATCATGTCCAATATGTCGACAAAATTTATTAGAAAATCAATTAATACCAATAACTACTCGTTTAATATTAAATATACTTGATAAACTTGTTGTTAAATGTTTACAATGTGGACAAAATGATGTTCAACGTGGAAATTTCAATGATCATATGAAAAAATTTTGTTCAAAAAGTATTTTGTCATGTACAGCATCAGATACTAATTGTCCTTGGTCAGGTAAACGTGAGGAACTTGAAAAACATCTATCAATATGCAATTATACACAATTACGATCTGTACTTAGTCAATTTATGAATACAAATCAATTATTCGAAAAACAAATTCAAACTCTTACAAATCATGTACAAACTTTACAAATTGCTGGTAAAATCTATTTTATTTAATATTGTACAATATCAATAATATTATCTATTACAGCTTCTAATCCAATAAGTCGTCTGATAACATTTGATAAACTTATTGAAATTGAAAATAAAATTGATTCTGGTATAATACCTGAATTATATCAAAATTTAAAATGGATTAATGTTTGGTATATGCATGAAAAATGGGTTGAGCTAAATCATGTTCTAAGTGGATGGAAAAATGCTTACACAAATAATCATACATGTATTGCTTTTAATGGAAAAGGATCTTCTATGAAAATATGTTCACAACACAAAGGTTTATATTCATTTTCATTAATTTCATTTGAAGCAACTGCAGCTTGGCATGATAATCTCCGAGTAAATGTTATTGGAAAACGAATTAAACAAGTTATATATTCAACAATAATTACGTTGCAATTTACTCATTCACAAGTATTTCAATTTGATTGGAAAAATCTTGATGAAATTAAATTTATTCCACTTGATGGAGTACAACATACAGGAATTGAGTATGATGAAAAATATTTTGCTTTAACTTGGATTATTTTAGGTTAACATTTTATTTTTATTTTTTCAACAAAACTAATATAATGGCAGATAAACGTTTTACTAAAAGATCTTTACTATTTTTTGTTTATTTTTATACCCGAAAAGTATTGCAACAAAAAGAATACATGTGATCGACATTTTATTGTGTATAGAAATTCAATTTATCGATTTTGTTTACTATGAGTACATGAATATGACTACTCTAAATTTTTTACATTGATGAGATTTTTTATACACTTAAAACTTTTTCACTGACAAATACTTGTAGTGAAAATCTATGATAGAACATTTCGTCTGGCGTAATAAAATAGATAAAAATAGAAAGCTATAATTTATGACTTAAATTATTGATATTTACTTATTTTATCTAATGATCTATTTAGAAGAAATGAATATAAGATCACTTTTTAGAACACAGAATTAATTACATTATATTGTGAAGAAATATGAATAGATTTGATATAATGCGACCTCTTGCGGATGTATTTTGATTATTTCTGAGGATGAAATGAATTCTCAATGGCGATAAAATTTTGGTAAACTACAGTCCAATGATTAGATGCAATTGCAAGAGGGAAAAGCGTAGGCAGAAAATATCAGCTGAAAAGGAGATATTCTCCATTTATTTTTGATATTTGTCATTAGTGTTAACATATTTTAGTTTTTCACTTCCGTTTTAATTTATCTATATTAATTATCATAATGTCAATGAAATCAAATTCAGCATTTCAACGTCTTCAAGCTGAATATCGTCGTTTAGCGAAAGATCCAGTTCCATATTTAACAGCTCAGCCATTATCATCGAATTTATTAGAATGGCGTTATGTTGTACGTGGACCGAGTGAAACACCTTACGAAGGAGGAATCTATCAAGGAAAAATTGTTTTTCCCGTTGAATATCCCTATAAACCACCAAGTATATATTTATTTAAATTCATAAAATAAAATCTTATTAATTAATATTTAGGTATATATATATTAACTCCAAATGGTCGATTTAAAACCAATACAAGTTTATGTTTAACAATAACATCATTTCATCCTGATTCATGGAATCCATCTTGGTAATATTTGTATTATTATATAATAAGCGAAAAAAAAAAGCTTTATTTTCTAGGTCAATATCATCAATATTAAATGGATTTTTAAGTTTTATGTGTGATACAAGTGCAACATTTGGTAGTATAGATACAACATATGCACAAAAACGTAAATTTGCTTATGATTCATTAGCATATAATATACAAGATTCAATATTTTGCGAATTATTTCCTGATATAACAGATGAAATAAAAAAGATTCTTGAAGAACGAACTGCAAAATTATCGACACTAAATTCTATTAATAATGATCAAGAACAATCGGAATCATCATCATCATTAAATAGTGGTTCAACATCAACATCTTGGCTCAATAGTCTCATTGGAAATTTAATGATACTTGTCTTTTTAGCAGTATTTGCTATTATCGTTCGATTTATTCTTAATTCAACTGCTGAAATACAGTAAAAATTTCGAAAAAAAAAAGAAATTTAACATAAAACTACAATATTTCTATTCGGTTTTTTTCTCTATTTCTCAATGTATAAATAAATAAAACAAAACAATGAAAAGACAAAAAAAAATTCAAAAAAATAAAACTTTTTGTTTGGTATATTCTGAGAATTTTTCATTTCTGTATTTTAAGATATGAGTATTCAAAATAATGTTATTGGTCCATTCTCAGCTCAAGGTGTATCCGATCCATATGGAGCATTACGAAATTTTCAAATTATGAAAAAACTTGGTCATGGACATTTTTCTGTTGTCTTTTCTGCTAAAAATCGTTTTGATAATGTTTGTGTTGCTTTGAAAAAAGTTGAAGTATGAAATAACTTCTTTTTCTTTTTATAAATATCCAACATTTAATTTTTAATATATTTATTTTAGTTAAGTCAAATGGCCGATGCTAAAGCTATTGAAGATTGTAAACGTGAAATTAGCTTACTTCAAGTAAGAAGTTTAATAGAAAAAAAACTAAACTCTCATTATTTCTATTCTTTAGCAACTTAATCATCCAAATGTAATTAAATATATATCTCATTTTGTTGAAGATAATGATTTGTATATTGTTTTGGTATGTTTATATTATATAGAAATAAAACGCAAGTTTCTTTTCTTTTAAATAAATTTAGGAATTAGCAAGTGCAGGTGATTTAGCTCAAATGATAAAGCATTTTATTAAACATAATAAACGAATGACGGAAAAAACAATATGGAAATTTTTTTGTCAAATTTGTAGTGGTCTTGAACATATGCATTCAAAAAGAATAATGCATCGAGGTAAAATAATAAATCGAAAAAAAAATTGATTTTATTTATTTTTATTTTTTTGATGTAGATATTAAACCGGCAAATATTTTTGTAAGTGCAGAAGGAATTGTTAGATTAGGTGATCTTGGATTAGGTTAGTTTTTATTTCATTTTTATTCGAATTTATTAAGGTATAATTTTTTTGAAAGGTCGTTTTTTTGGTTCACAAACAAAATCAGCTCATTCAATGGTTGGAACACCGTTAGTATTCAAAAAATATTTTTATTTAAATTTCTATTAATATTTAAAATAGATATTATATGTCTCCTGAACGTATCCAAGAACATGATCTTGGTTATGATTTTCGATCTGATATTTGGTCTCTTGGTTGCATTTTATATGAAGTAATAATAAATATTATTTTTATCAATCAAAAAGAAAATTCTCGTTTTTTCTTCTCTTTCTTTAGATGGCAGCACTTCGTTCGCCATTTTATGGTGAAAATTTGAATCTCCTATTACTACGTAAAAAAATTGAGGCACTTGATTATGTACCATTACCAGCAAATATTTTTTCACTTGAAGTGAGTATTTCGAATCTTTCAATGATATTTATTGAATATATATTTCTTTCAAGCTTTGTCATCTTGTTGCAAAATGTCTGGTATTAGATCCTCAACAACGACCATATATAGGTGAAGTTAATCATATAGCTCAAGTGATGTATGCAAGATGTGTTGAACAAGCAAATATAAATAATAATACACCAACACCAACACCATCATCACGTAATGATTCAGCTTCGGGAAGTGTTACACCTGTTAATAATCGATAAATATTTCATTGATTTATATTGTGATATCGTTTTTCTCTTTTCTTATTATTATCCGTCCATTTTTATTTGAATACAGTGAGAATGAATACGTATTCATTTTTGACCGGTCTTATATTCACTTTTTTTTCTTCTTTTTTGAACACAAAAAAAATTATCTTACATACATACATACACACACATATGATAATTAATAAAATATTATTGTTGTATAGTTCACTTTATATTTTTAAAAAATATTTCTATTGATTTTAAACTATTTTCTTTCATTAAATACATTTAACATTCTTGTTTGTAGAACATTTTATTATTATTATTTTTTGTCTTGCATTGTTTTGATCGGTTTTGTTTGTTTTTTTTCTTTTTGTGTATATTGTAAATGTATTGGAAAAATAAGCAACGAATGAGAAATATATAAATATATACACATAATATAAGAAAAAAAATTATTAGGAAAGAAAAAGTTTTTTT